AGAGATTCTGTTTCCTTCTCAGTAAATCTACATTGCTATCATGTTACTTCATTAAACATTAACAGATTAATATCCAAGTATCTCTTTATTCCAGCTTACTTTATACATAAACGGGCAACTAATAGACTCTCTGAGAATAGTCACATTTTAGGGAGAAAACTGACCATACAAAGATATCTAAAATGTTTGACTTAATAGCAAGTACAGATATATTTCTACAGTTCTAATCCTGAGTTTTCAGAGAGTTCAGTTACAATAAAAATAACCCATAAATGGGAGTTGAAAGAGCATTCACAATTTGGAGCTCCTCAAACTACTATAATCGGCTGTTTTAATATTCTGTGACAAACAAAATCGTTTTACTGTAAATGAGAAAAACGTAACCGAAGTCCACGTTAGCTAATAAAAACACTTCACTTTGCTTCTGCCATTATGTTTTTCTGATGCTTGTAAACCAAGTAATGAGTGTTTTAAAGTTTAAAAAGTATTTGGGCCATTATGAAGATCTAGCTTGCTAGTCAATTTGTCACTGAAAAGGAGTGTGCACAATCTTCTCATAAAGAGAAGTTATTGTTTCAGATGATGAGGTCTATAAAAACCTATCTCCATGCAAAATTCTGGTGTTTTACCTTCACATTTCTGCTTTTGTTTGGGCCATAAACGTTAAGGACACTTTAAAAAACGCCACTAAATTTCAACAGTTGCTATAAAAACACATTCTTAGAACCCTAGCTTTTAGATAGATGGTAATGCTGTCTGCATGAAATTTGATGTTGTTTCTGTGTCCTCAGTCAATCTTTTAATTGCTCAGTTTTTGTTTTTGTTTTTTTTTTACTTAAATCAAGCTTTTTTAAAGTAAGGATTTCTTTGTTTGGTTTTGGTACAATTTATTCTCGATCTTTAAAAAAATGTAACTATTTATCAGTGTTTGGCTTAATGACAATCTTCTCAAATCATTCCTATAGATTATCTATCTTCCCTTCCCACATATTCCCTTACCATTTAACATGGTACATTAATAAATTATACAAAAGATGATAACATGATTGACCTTTATGCATACTTGTGTATTTGTATTTTGGTAAGAAAATTCTTATATAAGTATGTATATTTATAACTACGCACAAATATGTCCTAATGGCCCTTTGCCCTGCCTGAGGACTATTCCATTTGTCTAGAGTTATCAGGAAAGCCAGTGTTTCCTGTAAGTAAGGTTGACATCCTGAGACTCAAAATTCTACCTTAACCATTGAGATAAAAGTCTTTTAAAATGCTTTCTGTCTTCTAAAGTTACTAAAGTAACTTTAGTAATAATCAGTAATAATAACCTAAAGTAATAATTAAACATTTTCTGATAACAGAGGGTCAGCATAATGACCATCCACGATTAGAATAAATGAAACAGCTGAAACCTTGAATGGCCTCTGACTGACATTTTTTTCTTTCTTACATCTTTGTATTTACTTCTTCTAACTCTTCTATCTTTTCACTTTGCCGTCAGGGTATCTATTCTACCTTCTTAAGGCAGATCTGTGTGCCTGCTTACAAGAGTTAGTCAGTCCTTGTATTTTTTAATTTGTTGCTTGAAATCTGATGAGGGCTGGGAAATCCGAGAGCCATAGTTGTTAAACTTTGTCTAAAGTACAGAACAGCTTTTGTGATGTTGATTTCAGCTGTTCCAGACCATTCTGCCTCTTTCTCAGTGGTCTCTATTAGTAATAGAAAATTTTACCAAATCAGTGCATCTGGATATGTGGGGATAAATGTCATACTGGGGATAACTGTGCAAACTAATGTTCAGGCTTATGCACTGAAAACAGTCAGCAGGATGTTATTGTTAGAAAATACTGAGAATTTTTATCAGACTTCTTCCATAATTCTCATTATATAACCCAAAGTAGGAGAAAATTTTTGAATATCAAAATAGTATAAATCAGTATAAAATAAATTAGCATAAAATAGTATAAACTATAAATTTATTGTTTTATTATTCTAAACCCAGACATATCTAAAGCAGCTTGCCCAGCTGACCTGGCTACCTTGAGATACAGAGCCTGTGCCTTTAATTATCAATTTAAACAGCAAGTCCAATACTGCAGAAGGAATTGTGGAACTGGGCAATGATATCAAAATCTGCATCCTGAAAAGCACTGATGAGTCTGGAAACTGGAATGAAAATAGTTCTCCCAAAACTCCTCCTTTCTATCAATTTTAGATTGTACTGACTACATATTCCCATCTGAATCGAAGGACCAAATAAAGAATCATAAAGTGTGACCATTTGAAGATGGCCTGGCCACAATATGTGCTATTAACTGCTTAGTGACTGATAGATGTTTATAAATATAAAAGACTGTTATCCACAAGAAAGACATCTGCACATAGACACGAGTTCAGTTAAAAGCTTGTGTTTGAGCATTATTGCTCAGCCAAGCATAGGGCTGAGCAGTGGGGTACAAAGAAATAAATGGAATGGGTTTCTGCCCTTAGAAGCCTTAAGACCAGATTGTCTTCTAGAGGACATTCTTAGTAACTCAACAAGGACTCACATGAATAAATGAATGATTGGTGACACTGATCCTTGAATGTGGTGTTGAGATGTGGTACAGTCTTGGTATGTAAAATGTCTTTTTTCTCTGGCTGCTTTTAAGATAATCTCTTTACTACTGATTTTGAGCAACTTGATTATAATGTAACTTGGTATAACTTTTCATGTTCCTCTTAGAGTTTCTTGAGTTGCTTAGGTGTGTGAGCTTGCAGTTTTCAGTAAATTTGGAAAGTTTTCAACCATTATTTCTTCAAATAGTTTTTTCTGTTCTCTTCCTCCTTTCTCTTTTGTTTTGTTTGGTTCTCCATTTACACATCAGGCCACTTGAAGCTCACTGATGAACTGTCAATTTTTTTTTCTTTTTCCTCTGTGTTTCATTTTGTATAGTTTCCAGTTGCTATCTTTCAGCTCACTAATCTTTTCTTCTGCAATGTCTAATCTGCTGTTGATCCCATTCCATGTATTTTTCATTCCAGATGTTGTTTCCAACTCCAGAAGTTTTATTTGTATCTTTATAAATTTTCCATGTTTCCAGTTAATTTTTTGAGCACATGGAACAAAGAGTTTAACTTTTAAAGCAAAGGTGGAAGTCTTACATTCAAAATCCTCTAGAGCTCAAAGACATTTCTCCATTTTTAACTTGTTCTTATAAAAACCTAAGTGTTTCTCAAGTAAAGCAATAATTCGTTAAAAAATAATCAAGAGATGGCAAACTTGATTTGCCACTATCTAGATGGCTTTGCATTTCAGGTCAGACTCAGGCCTGGGACCCAGAGCTTCCCTTCCCATCCCCTTCTAGTCCATCTTCTAAGGCCAGGGAGCTGGGTGGGAACTTGCAGCAACTTAGTGCTCTTGGGTATATACAGTGACAAGCCCTTAGCCTATGACATCCTGCATCTTTGCATCTAGTGTTGCGACTGATCTGCATGATGTGGGGTGAAGCCGCCATGATCTCCTCTGCTTAAAGACGATGCATCTGAGAAACACTGAGGTGCTTTAATTTTCCCAGGACCACAAAGCTTAGAAAAGTTAGAGCCTAGGTTTGAATTGTGATCTGAGTTGAAGCCTCCTAACTTTAGAGGGAAGTTAATGCTAAGGGCAAGTTCAAGGAAGTGACTTCCATTACTATCTCTTTCCTACTTATGCAAGGCTATACCCTGGCATTCTTCTTGGTGAGACTCTACTTTTGAAGCTTTTCTCTTGTTGAAAGCAAGAGACAAGTTCACCTCAAGTCCATCCCAAACTGAATTCTTAAGGTACAGCATTAGTGATGCCTTATGGGCAAGGAAGGAAAGGGATAATTATGTTCATTCCTAAGACTCTCAAGCGAAGAGGTGAACCTGCCATGCATGAGTAAGTAGCCAGCTCCTGGGAAGTATCATCAGGGGCTGGGTCCCAAGAGCTGGGATGTCACATCCAAGAAAGAAAATGCTGCAGCTGACACTGTAGCCATGGAAAGGAAGATGGCAGAGAGAGAAGTGATGAGAGTCAGGTATTGGAAGGTAATAATAAGAAGGGAATGTATTATTACATGATACTGAAGCCAATACCTGTGGTACCCATGGTACTGAGCTTCTGAGAGTTATCTGTAGCTATGTGTCTATATCAATATTGTTTTGAAGAAAATGAATGGTAAAGAAAAGATTGATTTATGGATATCCCAACCCCCAGGCATTGATATTAAATGAATGAGGAATTGAAGGTGGAGGTCTTGATATTTTCCCTACGTGCCCTCAGTTCTTCTAAGAGGTTACACTCTTTTGTGCGATAAGGCAAGTTAGCCCATGTAACAATTAGTGACCAAACTCAGGAATTCTTTGCTATCGTGAATCCGTTTCTACCCACAAAGAAGGTCATGAAAAATTTTTGGTGAGAACCGACCTGGAACAGTGGGTATTTGTAAAGACCCAGAGGAAAAGACCTTCCTAATCTCTTTCCCAGTCATACAGTTGCTTTACTGTAACCTTTTGCCAAAGATAACTATTTTCCTCTGTAATCCCGTAATTTAAAAATGCAAGAGGTTCTTTTCCTTTGGGGACAGGACCAGCTACAACATTACAGGATTCACAGCAGTTTTCATATGACATGTTTGGGTATCAGCTCCCTTAACTGTCAATGACAGTGCTTTGAAAAGTCTCAACATGTCAGTCGCCCCTGAAAATGGAGTAGTCAGCTACACAAATATAATGGAAAGCATTCATAGCATCTTCAGTGACTATACTTACATCTACTCCTCTGCATTTTGTAGCGATCTTCAACGACCCCTGAGCCCTTAAGAAGAATTTTTAAAAGAAATACCTTTCTAAGTCCAACAGTTCAATGGAACTGGTCTTTCTCTAACGTCCTTAGAAACTTTATTAGAATTGTACTTCTCAAAATTGGACTTCTCATATTTCCTAAGGACCTTCTCATCATTCCAGATTTCTTTCTTATTGTAACAAACTCATCATACCTTCCAGCTCCCTGCAGCCAAGTTCTGCAGGGCGCCTGCCGCCCCTTCCAGCGTGTCTGCATTTGAGCACTCAGAGAGCAGTGTGAGGTAGGGTTTGACTATGGATGGGTGCCACAGCATCTGGATCCCTTTTGGTGGTTCTGCACAGTCTGGAAGAGGTCCTACTCCATCCCACTGGTGGAAGAGAAATGAGAGAGTAAACATCTGCAACATCTTTACACTTCCCAGTATTGCCTTTGGCAAACATCAAAGACAAAAACAAAAGCAGGGTGTCATGACATTTGGTGAGCATCTACTGTAGGTAGGATATTACATCAGCAGTCCAAGGACCACCAGAAATGGGACAGCCATTCCTGCCCACCGAGAGTTTGTGATGGAGGGTGGAGGGGTTTGGAGCATGTACATAAGTGAATGTAACTGGCAGTAGAATGGCTAAGCCCTCTGAGAACAATTCTAGCACAGTGCTACAGGAAGGAAGGAGAAGAGATGGGTTAATTTTAATCGGTCAGGGTGGAAGAGAGCTAAACATCAAGGCACCATACTTTACAGTAAGCATACTATAGGCATAGCATAGTAGTTAGTAACTATCAAATGCCCTCACTTCTTATACACAAGTGTTAACTGTGATAAATTCCTATATCACTTGTAAAATACATATTCTGTCATTGCATCTATGGGCATCAAACAAATGACAGAATGGACACAGGAGAGAAAATTGTTATGGTTTATTACATACATTGATGTGAGCTATAAGCAAATTTTGATCTTATAGGAATTCTGATGTTTGCTTTGAATTGAATCTAATAAATAACAGAATATGTAATTAAAAATTAATTACATATACATTTTAAATTATGGATTATATGCACAAAGGCATATCAGTAGAGTCTTAAAAATGATAGCTATGAAGATCATGTAACAATTTGGACAAATGTTTATGATAAAAGTTAAATAAACAAAGCAGGATGTAAAGTAGTAGGGGGTTTGTGTTTGATTCCAAATAAAATGCATAGTAAAAAAATGTAATGATAATAAAAATTTATTAATAAAGTGTCTTTCATTTTTTCCCACCTTTCTAATTTTGTTTTATTATCCTTATAATTTAAAAAATATTAAAAGTTCCAATAATGATTCTGATCTTTGATCACACATAGCCTTTTTCTTTCATTAAAAGTAAAGGCAATGAGTATAATGAGGGTAGAAATAAAGTAATAAGTGTAGAAAAAATACTCCCATATTCATTTTTGAGAAAAATCATAGTAAAACAAAAGAATTACTTTATAGTATCAGAATGGGAATGTTAAGTTATTTAACTGCTTATTTGTGTTTATTAATGATCGCTTAAAACATAATCTGAAAGACATATATATCAATACTAAGCTTTCTCACAGATATTTTATGTACATACATATATGTGCACCTGTGTCCATATATATGTATGTATACCTATGAAAACAAAATTGTATTTCAGAATCTGTGTAAGTTCCCTAGTTCTGAAAATCTACCTGGAAGAAAATATAGCTTACGTCTTATCCTCGCAACAAAAATAGAAGTGTTGATAGAAATGATGAAAAGTTGTTTAACAGTCACAAACAATTTCAAGAATTCTATCACTTATTTTCCAAAAGAAAAATTAAAAAGTCATACCTTCTTTTTCTCAATTATGATACGGCTTAACTCAGTTCAAGGCTAAAGCTCAGAGATGAATGACATCCCATCGACGGGTGACGGCCATCCCATTAAAGGTCATTTTCATTCAGAGTGTCACTCTATCTCAACTTTATAACAAGGACACTCAATGTGGGGATCTTCCTGTTCTTTCAACCAAAGCCACTTCTAAACCCTTCAAAGCGGACTTCGCACCTGTACACAGCCTATCAATAAAACCAGTCCATCTCTTTTAAATACATAACAAAACAAAACTGAAAGTGAACCAGACTTGTCACATTGCTCCTGCTTCATTATTTGAGACCGGCTCACTGCACCAGATAGAAAGAGAGCACTAGGCTAAGAGAACAGCCCTTTTGTAGATTTGATGACTTTGATGATGAAACAGGAGTAATATTGTCTTCTCATAGGAAACCAGCTGGGGGTATTGAATCTCTCGGCTAGCTAGTGCAACAGGAAATGCAAAATTATTTCTTTATTTTTTTCATTTTGTTATCTCCTTAATACTTTTAAGCTATCATTTTCATATAGAGATTTAGATTTCATATAAAGATTTAGAGCTCAACGTGGATGGAATTTCCCTCTCATGTAAGAGCCAGCATAACAGCGTGAGGTATAGAGAAGTTTTATTTGCACGCTCATTACAACATGCGACAGACAAACTGTAAAAAGAGCAAAAAAAAAAAAAGCTGTGTTATCATTTGCTGGGTCTCATCTGGTTCTTTTCTTCTAACTTCTGTGCAAATAAAACAGGATAAATAGCTAAATCAGTAGACAATTTTCTTCCTTTCTGACATGTGATCTATGTAGCTCTTAAATACCTTTTATTACAATCCTTTCTTAGTGGCTACAGAGAGAATCTGAAGGAAATAAAAGGGAAACTGATGTGAATATGGATAGCCTTTGATGACAACAAAAGAAGTTCAAAGGGGATTCTCTGCTATTTCAGAACGCTGATGGGACCCTGGCACATCGACACAGAAGATAAGGAACTATTTCAAAGCCAGTCAGTGTATCCTGCCTTCATCTGGGTACTTTATTCAAACTTTTATTGAGTTAATAGGGAA